AAAAACAAAACACACACACACACACTCTGACACTCTCGATCCCTGGCATATGAGGCTTCGGCGAGAAGCGGCGGAAGATCTGGAGTGCCCCCACGATTCAACAGCAGCCGTGCCTGACACATGCACGAAGCTGTGATGTTCCCACAGTGGACTTTGACTTCAGCAGCCCCCCTGCCACTGACAACTCGGGAATCAAGCTTCAGCGATCATGCTTCGAGAGCGAGTCCGGGGCTTTGTTTGCTGTTTGGGCTTTGTGGCTGCGGCGATACGGGATTCCTTTGGCAGTCCTAGAGAATTCTCCGGAGCCTGGGATTAGCTATTACAGTGCCTTAAGTTATGATTTCGTAGACCCATGAGTGAAGCAAAAAAGAAGCCAACTTGGAAAACAAGCCATCTAAGGAGCTGGAGCTGCAAACCCTGGATCGGCTGTTGTCGGACATGTACACCACTCACCCTGTCGTGGTGGACCTTGAAGATGTAGGGCATACCGGTGCTAGCCGAAAAAGACTCTATGTGATTCTTGCCTCCACTCGCTGCAAACGGCTGGCCGACCCTGTCAAGCTGTACGACGTCATCCGTTGGAAGAACCGGAGAGAACAGGGAACACGGCCCCAGGACTATCTGGTGGCCTCGAAATTCGAAGTCCAGTGCGAGGCGATGGAGGTTGCACGTGCTTTGCCTGGGAGCTATGTAGGAACAGGGGAGAGGTGGGAGTAGTGGTGTTTGCATGATAGACTCCTAACAGTTTTGGGTTCATTGAGCGGCAAGGTTAACAGGGTACTAGGAGCTGGGGGTCTCGGTGTATGGATTTGTATGCTGGAGCTTCTTTTTTTTTGCTTTCCGTCTTGGCTGGCTTCCGGGTTAAGTTCACGGTAGCTTCTAGGCGAGGCCTGTAATAAGGCTCTAAAAGGGGGGGGGTCGCTGGACTGGAGGCTCTGACACATTCACATAAGTTTCTGCGGAGCACACGACAGGTGCCCGAGGATTGAAGTATCGGCCCAGAGCGACTGACTTGTCCTACCTTCTGACAGAGCACGAGGAGAAAGCGAGGCGACGGCTGGATGCGACATATGTCAAGAAATTTAGCAAGAACCCATGGGATGATCCAAACCTAGTATATTTGCTTGGTAGTGACCCACAGTGGACCACCTCTTGGACTGCGGTGTCTGGCCGTCTTCCAGACATCCACGGGAATGTTGCCACCGGCAAATTCTGGTACCCTCACTTCAAGAGGTGGCTCACAGACAAAGAAAAGCCTCTTGTCTTGTGCTTCCATGATCCTGTGGTCGCTTTGACAAACCCGTGGAGAGTCGATCCCAACAGTGACATGTTTCCTTCCACATCCGAGGCTGTCTGCCATGACTTTTCCGGTGACTGAAGCTTCCGCATCAGTGCTGGGTGTGCCGGTGTTAGGCACTCGAGATCCGAAGCGGGCCGCACAGCTAGTGGCCGGTGCGAGGTCTTTGCACAATGCTGCCCTGATCCAGATGATTGCACTGGCTTCTTTTGGCCCTCCTTAGCCTGAGATAAATGCAAAGCCAAAACTACAGTCAAGCGGATCCGAGTCCTGGAAAAAAAAACATAGTGACTTTTGCATGTCCATACACCAGTCTTGTCAGTTCTGCTGTGCTCTTGCCGGGCTTGCAAGATTGCCTAAAGGCCATGCTGCTTGGCACCCTCGCAGCGAGTTTGAAAGGTTCAGTGCTGCACTCCGGCCCATCTAGGACCCTCTGGATCCATGGAGCCTCTGCCTGGAGGAGCTCCTCTTCCCAGCTTTGGCGGCTACAGCCATCCGGAGGCACCTGCGGCTGTAGCTGCATCGGCACCAGGAATGCCAATGATGCCTTGCGGGGCAGCAGTGCCTGTGGCTCCGTCCATGACAGCAATGATGCCACCTGGTAGTACAGCCGGGATGATGCCAGCAGGTGCCCCGGTTGCTGCGATGCCGCACCACATGATGACCACACCTGGGCCTTCGTCAGCCACAACCGTCCCGGGGATGCCGGGAACTGGGTTTCCCACGAATCCCGCTGGCACGACTGCTGCTGTATTGCCAGCACCGGCAGCAGTGGAGCTGAGTGATCCGGGGAAAACCAGCAAGCGGAGACGTAAGGACAAGCCAGCTGGCTCCAAGACGGTTATTTATGCCTCGACATGGAATGCCGTTGTGGCTGGGGAGCCTAGTGGATAGTGACCTGCATGGGTGCTTTCGTGTAAGTGAGCTCATCTGGGGCAGTCGCTTCCGACCTTCCTAAACTTCAATGCAGGATCACGTCATGGTGACCTTGCTGAGCAAGTCCGGAGCACCTGAACTCTAAATTATGTGAGCTGGATCCCTTCTGTCCTGTGTGCATTCGCTTGCTATGGGTCAACCCTCGTGTGTCCTAAGGGCGACTATGCGAACAAGGCCTACCTGGAGACGGTAAGCCTAGAGGTCATGGGTTCCATGGCCTTCTTCTACTGGGGCAAGCACCCCAATCAGAAGCTCACGGCACAGGAGCACCTTGTCTTCACTCAGGTCGGCACGTCGTGTCGTAGGAAAACCAGCTCTGCATCCGTAGCTGTTCCTTGCATGCACTCGTAGTCGTGGCCTACATTCCTGCTAAGGAAAGAGGATGCAGACCAAACCGCAGATGACTTCGTGAAAGAGTACGACCGGCGGGAGCGACCCGGTCAGTATATGACAGGCGAGGTCATACATCTCATTTGCCAGGCCTGGTACCGGGGCCAGGACCCCATGACACCATGCTTGCATCGATGCCATAGTCTCGCTTGTGCGAGGTTCTAGGACTGAGGAGTGGTTTAGGTATGCAGCAGGTTACAGCAACAGGGCCACGAACTGCTATAGAGTTCTGCTAGCACCAAGCAACAAAGGCATGGGGGTTTGATGTTCCAAAGGATGAGGGCTAGGAGTTTCTGGAGGCTGCTTTTTTTTTTTGGGGGGGGGGGGTGTGAGGGGTCAACAACTCTAAACGCTTGACACTGCTTTCTTCCGCCTTTACAAGCAAAACCTCAACCTTCAACCCGAAACCCAACACACGCGCGCACACGCACACACACACACATATATATATATATATATATACCTAACCCGAAACCCTCAACCTCATCAGCATCCCAAGATGGAACACGATTCTTGCGCCAGAGTCTTCTTTCTGGATGGAACCGTACCGTCGGATGGATCAGGGCCTAAACCCTAAACCCTACAAACCCTATAAACCCTAAACCCTGTAAACCCTAAACCCTGTAAACCCTAAACCCTAAACGATCAGGGCTGGGCACGCAAGTCGGTCACTCCAGGGAGGATGGTTGCGGACGAAGGGACCCAAGGCGCTCTCCTCCGGCTTGTGCCATGGCGCTAACTTGGGTTTAGTGGTGTTAGGGGTTTAGGGGTTTTAGGGTTTAGGGGTTTTAGGGTTTACAGGTTTAGGGTTTAGGGGTTTAGGGGTTTCGGGCATGGCGGCGCAGAAATGACGCCTGGCGCAGCTGCAGTTGCGCAGGTGCCGATGGTCATGAGCTGCTGATTAAAAGTTTCCCGACCGTCCCGAACGTGTAGCAAAGATGACCCCTCCGCTGGCCGAAGGTTCTGTCGGGGAATTCAGAAGACATCGTTATGGGATGAAGCGCTTGCTGCACCCAGAACCTTCAACACACTCAGGCCCCAGAGCTTCTAAGGACCTGCGAGTTAGGGCCCTGGACCCCCTTACCCAAGGGCTCCAAGTATGCAAATGGTACCTACTTTGGGGCCTAAAGTCTATAAATAGGACCTACTTTGGGCTATTTGGAGCCCCAGGGTTAAGGACCCCACAAAGAAGGTCCCGGAGTCCCTGAAAGCATAGGGAAGCCTTGAAACCAAGCTCCTGTCCTTATCTGCCCTTCGGTTTAGGGTTTAGGGTTTATAGGGTTTAGGGTTTAGGATTTAGGGTTTAGGGCTTGGGGTTCAGGGGGTCCTTATCAAGTCTTTATCTCCCCTTCCTGCGAGGTCTGGTGTGCCCACGAGCCGGAGACTCAGAGAGACGGAAGCCTTCCACCGTGTTTAGGGTCCAGGGCTTCAGGATCTAGGGGGTTTCGAGTTTAGGGGTTGAGGTCTAATATAGGGGCCTAACTAATTATCAATGTTATTCTTAGAGCTCCTTGTTATTAATAATGATACTAAAATATACCCCCAAACCCCTATTCTAATTACTTTAATTATTAAGGCCCTTATATTTGGACAGTTTCAAGCTGGGTGTTTTTCAGTGCAACGCACGAGTTTCTGTGTGTACTCTTGCTGACCGATCGGTGTTGGGCAATATGGGAACCAGATTATATAAGAACCTAGGTGGTTATAGGGCCAGGGATTCTTAATCAGCTTTCTTCAGTCTCATGTTCCTCGGAATCATGGCACCCTAAACCCTAAACCCTATAAACCCTAAACCCTAAACTCTAAACCCTAAACCCTGTAAACCCTAAACTCTAAACCCTAAACCCTATAAACTCTCAACCCTAAGCCTAAACCCATGGTTTCGTGATCGCATGCAGTGCCTGTTGAGAGGGGACAAGAGGAGGATCAAGCCGAAGGTTGCAAGGCTCCAAAGTCTGGAGCTCGGAGAGTCCAAAACCCCACTTTAGGGTTAGGGTTCAGGGGTTTAGGGTTTAGGGGTTTAGGGGTTTAGGGTTTAGGGCCTTTAACCCAAAGGGTCCAAGTACCATGCCCCGAAAGTATATACGATGCTATTACTTGGGCCCTTTGGGCAATTAAGGCATACACCAAGAACTTTCTAGTCTACATTAATTGAGGAGTATGATTAGAATACAGTGATTATAGGGGCCTTAGTATTATGCTTCACGAAGGGTATCGAAGTCGCGGATATGGGCTTAGTTGGGTAGAGTTCTGTGAAGTTCGTTTCTTGGGATTGCAACTGTGTTGTGTTGTGCCTCCTGCAGTTATTCTCCTTTCAGCTGGTTGCCTTGGCCCAGATTAGCATTCACCTATAATCAGTAAGGTTAGACTGAGATGTGTTCTTGTCGGACCTGGTTGCTTCCTTTCCTGTGGTTACGGCTTTCGCGTGCAGGGCGAGGATCCAGGAGTTGGGCTTTAGCAACCGAGGCTAGAGGATTTGCAAAGTGTAGGTTCTGAGGTGAAGGCTTAGGATTCAGGGTTTGGGAGTTTTGGATTTTTAGGGCTCCCTAAACCCTAAACCCTGAACCCTGAACCCTAACCCCTAAACCCTAAACCCTAAGCCCGTCCTCACATTTGTCGGCGCCCAGTGGCTCGACTGTGGTCTACCCTTCCAGCACCACGCCGATCCGGCTGGACATTCAGGCACCGCTTTCTGTGCTGCCTTGGTGACAAATGTAGTTCTAGCTACCATCCATCGTAAACAACCCCGCTGTCCTTATCATGACAACTTATAGATCCACTACACTATCTTACTTACATTGATTAAACAAGCCCATGCCGCGTGAAGTTGCTGTTGCGGTTAAGGGGCTTTAGGTTTAGTATTTCGGATTCGCAGGTTCTGGTGTTGAGGCAGTTCAATCCTAGACCCAGAGCCGATTCAAGCTTCAATTCCATTTTTGTGCAGTTTCGGGATCGGGAGTAGGGTTTAGGGTTCAGCGGTTTAGGGGTTTAGGGTTTAGGGTAAAAGAACCCGAGCAGAGCACCAGTGTCACCAAGATCTTCAGATCCGAAGTTTGACGATTCCTCAAAGCGCCCGCAGCCCTAAAGCAGCAAAAAGATGCCATGCAGACCCGTTTTGTCTGCGACTTTACCTTGGTTTACTTCGGGGTCAGAACGCCCTTTAACCCGAAGCTCAGACCGTAAGCCCCAAGCCCGAAGGTGCTTCAATCGCCCTCTATAACCTCAAACCCTGCGACGAGCCCTAAACCCTAAGCCCCACACCCTAAACCTGAAGCCCTTTGAAGCCCTTAACTTCGAGCTCCAAGCCCTCCTGCGGTGAGGATAAAGAGGCGTCCCCTGCTTAAGACAGAGCTACAAGTACTCTAAACTGCAGGCGCGGCAGCCTCCTTCTTTCATCTACAAGCAGTTCAATGTCTCCATCACCTCTGTGGCCTTGGACTTAGACCGGTGCATTCGGGTTTAAGGCGGCGTTTTGGAGTTCACTGGTTCCGGGGCGTAGGGTTTCTCTTTGTATCCTCAAACAGGGGAATGTGATCCCAAGTACTTAGGGTCTAATATAGAGGGTAGATGGAGAGGCTAGTCTAGGCGTACTGATAGCTGCCGATGAAGCTTCGTGTAAGTCTCTAGGGCCTCTGGGGCTGAGATCGAGACGGAGATTTAGGGATTAGGGCTCAGAGATTCTAGGGTTTAGGGATCAGGGTTTAGGGGTTATACGGATTAAGGTCCATGTGTTTTAGAGTTTGTGAGATGTTGGGGTGTTAGGGCCAAGGGTGCTGAGGAGTTTGGGGTT